CATCCCTGTCTTGTTCCCGTTCTTAGGGGAAAAGCTTTTAGCTTCTCGCTGTTCAGTATGATGTTGGTTGTGGGTTTATTATGTTGAGGTGCTTGCCCTGTATACCCATTTTGTTGAGAGTTTTTATCATGAATGGCTGTTGAATTTTGTTGAATGCTTTTTCAGCATCTGTGGAAATGATCGTGTGGTTTCTGTCCTTTTTGTTTATGTGGTTGATGATGTTGATGGATTTTTTAATGTTGTACCATCCTTGCATCCCTGAGATGAAACCCACTTGATCATGATGTATGATCCTCTTATGTATTTTTGAATTCGGTTTGCTTTTTTTGCCTTTTAATTGATGTTTTTTTTAGTATTAAAAATTTTTTTTTCACAATAATTACTGATATTCCATTTAAGATAGTGATTAAATTTTGCCTTTAAAATTTTTGTTCTAAAAGAATTGAATAAATTTTAAAGAAAAATATTAAATACAGGTAGGATAAAGGGGTATGACAAAATTGGAGAATGTGTTATGTTGAAGGTTGCATGTGGCTGTGGTTGGGAAAGTGGTCTGGCAATGAATGAAATTTGGGAATTATTCTCCAGCATTTCTCAGGCATCTATGTAATTTCTGCATTATCTGTAGTACTAACTTGTTTAACAATGTTTACTGAGCATCTGCTTTGTGCAGAGAACCGTCCTGAGAAAATGAGGAGATTACTCTACCTTCTAATCTGGGGAGGAAAGAGGATGTGTGTTTGTGCCACAGCTGGTGTGAATGCCTTGTGGCAAGCCCTGTCAGAGTGGCCAGGGCCTTGTGCTGCTGGAGCAAGTCGAGGTCATCTCTGGAGGGGGTCTTGAGGCCTTGGCTCACACTCTTTTCCCCCAAGTGCCTTTCTCCCTTCCATTTTGAATTTCTCTAAATTGCATAAATTTTTGAGGGGAAAAGGTGCTTTGTTTGTAGATAGAACTCTGAGGAGGACTTTGTTCAAAAGGAAGAGTGTCACATTGGCCCTCAGGAGACGGATTGTGCTACCAGAGTTCTGGTTCCAGTATCCCTGTGTTCAGCCAGATAACTGCTTGGTTTGCATCTCATTTTCTTTGTCTTTTTGGTTATGGCAAAGTCCAGTGTCCTTCCTGCTTCATGAAGCAGCACATGTGAGAAAAAATTGTGATGTACGTTCGCACATCAGTGTTATTTTCACTCTATTAGTATTTGAAATACTGATGGTTAATGATTTTGAGAGTATTTTAGGTCTTTAATCCTTTTTTCTCTATTTTTTTTTCTAGGTCTTGATGCAGAACTTTATTATGTGAGAAATGACCTTATTAGTCACTACGCTCTCTCCTTTAACCTTTTAGTACCCAGTGAGACAAATTTCCTGCACTTCACTTGGCATGCAAAGTCCAAGGTAAGAGAGTGGTCCACCAAAGATGCCAGCTTGGGACTGCCAAGGCTGAGGCTGTGTCTGAGGGCTGCCCTCTGTACAAAAGCATTGGTGGGTAGTGTGCTATAGCAGTTGTGGGTCTTTTCAGGTCTATATATTAAATATTTAGCCTATTCCTCTAGATTTTCTCAAGCCGTTTAAAATGAAGGTAGCCATTATTTTTGTTACTAGCTTAGAACTGAACACTTAAATCCTTCCAGGCTTTTCAAACAGGGATGCTGATCTAGCTTGAAAACGTGTCAGTAGGACCTGCTAGTGACTGTGCTGTGACCATGAAGTGCTAAGAGTCAGGGGTGGGGAGCTTGGTGAGGTGGGTGTTTTAGACAGGTTTGATATAACAGAAATAGTTCTCCCATTTATGGAGAAACAGTGAAAGTAAGGTGCAGCAGACACGGGCACCCATGTGTGCTCTTCCTTTAGCCCTAGGAGCGCTTGTCTGGCTTACTTGTTTCTGAAATCTTTACATTTCCTCTAACTGTCTGGGCCCCTCAAATGTAAGTTTTCTTACAGGCCAAAGAGTGGGAGGATGAATGTAGAGCCCACCTCCCCTAATCAACTTCTGTTTCTTTTATCAGCATTATATATAGGCTTTTGAGTCAGATTTTACTTGGGAAATAAAAATAGTTTTGCTACTAAAAATCTTACAGAGTTTTTTTTTTTTAAGTGCAGGACATTGGTTTCTGTCCTTAAGTTTATTGCAAGTTTAAATTTGACCACTTTGATGTAGATCTTTCTACTTAGAAAACAATAGTAGTTATTGGAAAAATTCAAATATTATAGAATTGCTTCAAGAACTGTTAAGACTTTGCAGATCTCTACCCAGGGTAATCATTGTTTATAGTTTGGTATACTTCAAGACTCATTTTTAAAAAAACTTCTTAAACAAAAAAGGAATTTTATGACACACATGTTATACAGTAATTTCTCCCTGCCTAATACTGTATTTTGGCATCATTCCATTTGTAGATTTAATTCATTCTCTTTAATGGCTTTTGTAATATGATATTGTATGGATATTTAATGTATGGTCATTTGTTAAGTGCCTTGTCAACATAAGGATTTTAAAAAAGCATTTTATTTCAAACAGTGGTTCCATTTTTGTTACAAATAGTCTTCACTTCATTTGGCAGGCTAAATCCATGGTAAGGGATTGTGAAAACAATTGGTAGTTCATCTTTTGTTGCTGTTTCTACCTTGTTATTGATGAATATAGAAACAGAAGGAAATATCTGTGTGTGTGTATGTATAGGTGTGTATGTGTGTGTATACATATATTAAGAATATCTTCAGAAATTTTGTGCACTTGTGGCATTATTTCTGAATAGTAAATTATCACTAGGTAGTTGGGTCAAGGTGACTGTGTATGCATGTTTAAAATTTTGATGAACATTGTCAAATTGTTTCTTCCTTACCTCTCCCAAGATGGTACCTTTTACGAACATTCCTTACAAAGTAAATAAGGGTGCTTATTTCTTCAATTCCACTCCCTAACACTAATATATTAAGTATATTTGCTTACCAAATAAATGAGTAAAAATGATTAAATAAATATGCTTGTATTCATATTATTATATATATTCAAACATGTATTACAGAAACATTGTACACACATACACATAGACCCATTAACACATTGCTGCAGGAGTGTTGTGATTAAAGTTGAGTTAGCTTGAATGTACCTTGCTATCTGGAGCCTTGGGTGTATCCAAGTATGGGGGTTGCACTTTAAGAGTAGACACATCTCTTTGGGGTGAAAACTGCAAAACCAGAAGTCCAGAGAAAATTCAGTGAAACAACTAAGCATATTTAGTAAATGTTAACCTGGATATGCTGAAGTCCCAAAATAAGTGGTTTAGATAATTCAGAAAAGATTCATTTAAGACATTTTGATCTGAGTTAAGTCAGTTTCAGTGAGTAGGCACCTGAACCTTTCAAGGAAACTGGGCTAACACAATATTCAGTATTTTTACATAGCATTGTGTGACCTTAACGATTGTTGGAGGGTAACTTTTAATTTTGATACAGTTTCAAACATGAAGAAAAATCATGCTAGTATGAAGAATTCTCATATATCCTTTACCTAGATTCACAAGCTGTTACTGGTTTGCTCTGTTTGCTTACTGTGTCGCTCGTTCATCCTTTCTCCCCTTGGAGAGTGCACACGCCCTCTTTCTCCTGTGAAAGTAAATTGCAAGCATCATGTGCCTTTACCCCTAAATACATCAGTGTATATTTTCTAAGAACAGGGCATTTTTCTTATTGAAGTATCATTGATGTACAATTTTATATTAGTTTCAAGTATACAGCACAGTGGTTCAGCAGTTACCCGTATGTTAAATCCTTACTTCCTCTAGTACAGCTACTGTCAACATAGGAAGATGTTACAGAATCATTGAATATATTCTCCATGCTGTCCTACTATGCCTGTGATCAACCTGCATTATGATTGAGAATTTTTGTGCCCTTTTATCCCCTTCTACCTCCTCCACCAACCCTAACCTTTCCCCCATGGTGACCACCAGACCCTTCTCCGTGTCTATGAGTCTGTTGCTATTTTGTTCATTCTGTTTTGCTTTGTATTTATATTCCATAAATATGTGAAATCATACGGCATTTGTCTTTCTTCACCTGGCTTATTTCATTGAGCATAATACCCTATAGATGCATCCATGTTGTTGCAAATGGCAGTATTTCTTCTTTAATGGTTGAGTAATATTCCATTGTGTATATGTACCACAGCTTCTCTATCCATTCATCTATTGGTAGACACTTAGGTTGCTTCCATATCTTGGCTATTGTAAATAATGCAGCAGTAAACATAGAGGTGCATCTGTCTTTCTGAATCAGGTATTTTGTTTTCTTTGGGTAAATTCCTAGAAGTGAAATTACGGGGTTGAATGGTATTTCTGTTTTTGGTTTTTTTAAAGAATCTCCATACTGCTTTCTCAAATGGCTCTACCAATTGACGTTCCCACCAGCTGTGTAGGGGGGTTCCCATTTCTCCACATCCTTGCCAACATTTGTTATTTTTTGTCTTTTGGATAGTGGCCATTCTGACTGGTGTGAAGTGATATCTCATTGTGGTTTTGATTTGCATTTCCCTGATGATTAGCAATGTGGAGCATCTCTTCATATGCCAGTTGGCCATCTGTATTTTTCTTTGGTGAAGTGTCTGTTCAGTCCTCTGCCCATTTTTTAATCAGGTTACTTTTTTTTTTGTTGAGACATATGAGCTCTTTATATATTTTGGCTGTTAACCCCTATCGGATAAATCATTTACAAATGTATTCTCCCATACTGTATATTGTCTTTTTGTTCTGCTGATGGTATCGTTTGCTGTACAGAAGGTTTTTAGTTTGATGTAGTCCCACTTGTTCATTTTGAACAAGGACATTCTTTACGTGACCAAAGTACAATAATCAAAATCAGAAAACAATATTGATGCAATATTATTATCTAGTATACAGTATTCACATTTCATCATTTATCCCAATGATGTTCTCTATTGCTCTTTTTTTCACCTGATTCAGGATCATGTATGCTATTAATTGATGTTCCTTTCGTCCCCCGTTAATCTGGAATACTTCCATGGCCTTTCTTTGTATTTCTTGACCTTGACATTTGAAGCATGCAGGCCAGTTATTTTGTAGAATGTCCCCGAATTTGAGTTGTATGAGGTTTTTCTCAAGATTGTGTTCAGGAATGTCTCTGGCAGTAACACCACAGAGGTACTGTCCTTCATACTGCACTTGATCTCAGCTTGTCCCATAACTGGTGATGTTAACTCTCATCACTCAGTTCACCAGGTTTCTCCACTGAAAAGTTTTCTCCTTTGTAATGAATAAGTAATTGTGGGGAGATAATTTGAAATTATATTAAAAATCCCATATCTCATCACCCTTGCATGACTGGTTTTTACATCTCTATTGAGAACCAGGTTCACTTTTTAGTCAGTGCCAGCATGGAGAGTAGAATGTCCCTCCCTGCTCATTAGAAGAGGTCAGATCTGTACTAGGTAACCATTTGGTAGGAGTATTGTAGAAAGAATTCAAAAATTTATGGAGTGGCTTGTTTTGAATTTTAAGTTTCCTTGCAACTTTGAGATCTGTTTTTGTGAACATCTTTCTGGTTAGAGAAGCTTCTAATACTCTCCAAAAATTTGATAGTTTATCCTTTGTTACTTTCCCTACCTTTAATGTTGATTAATATGAAAAACAAATAATACATATATTTTTGAATAGTGAAAAATCTAATGAGATAGAACAGATTCTGTTCCAGTGACCTTGAACAGGGTGTGATTATTTCTTGGCCCACTTAGGAAAGAAGAATGCTGATATATCATGAGAATGTTTCCTGGGCAAGTAAATGGATAGTGACTTGTGAATAAAAAAGTAATGTGGGATGTGGTGTTAGAATTGAACAGATTCTTCAGTTCTTCTCTTACTCATTCCTTTATTTTTATCTGTAGTGAATTTCAGAGATCTGACATTGCTGATAGTGGATGTCTGTGGAGTTTTAAGTGCCTGTCACAAGGAGGAGGTTGGAGTGGAGGAGAGTAGATACAAGATGGCTCAGATGAATATATATATATGTTTGAATGACAAGCAGTGTTGGCCTGGGTACATGTTGGGTCAGGAGGAGCCTTGGTACAGCTCAATCTTCCGTGTTCTTCATGTTATCTTATATAGCATAATTGCTAAAATACCTTTGTGGTAGGTATTAAATACCATTGTAAGTGCACATTTGGACTGCTGTTACTGATACGATATTCCTTGTAAGGCAGAAATTCCCTGACATCTTGGAGGGCATCACCATCTATTTACATATCTATGCCAGAAGCCTAGAAGGGACTCTAGATTCCTTCTTCTACATTTTCCAACTCCAGGTGATTCTTTCTCATAATTAAACCTTAAATTCATCTCCTGACTCTCTTGGGACCTAATGCCTCATCCTTAGTTTGGGCC